AACCCATAGGCTCTTCTTCAAAATCTTCCTCTTCTGAGGTTCCACAGATTTAGATTGGAAGGCAGATGAGACTTTCTTTTATGGTGCCTCAGAAGTGAATGGAGGAGATGTATATTTTGTGGCAGGATAGTCCTTGGTCTTGACAGAAAGCCTTTTGCTGGGTGTTGGTATTCTAGGCTGACCGGTTCACATTGGCTACAGTGTCTATGGAGCATGGGTAGCAAAATCGTTAAGATCCCATTAAACCCTAGAGGAACCAAAGGGAAGTCAGTTTGTGTCCAAAAACCTCAGTCTCCACCATCATTCCAGAAGCAGAAGTCAGAACTGAGGGAGGAGGCTGAACGTCCTCACTGGACCACCCTAAGGCTGCAGACTCTATGCAGGGATGCAAGTGGCCTGAAGTGAAAATGGAAGTGGTATCATGGGGGAATTTCACCCTTTGTGAATCTAGTGCTTATTAGAGGTGCCAAATTGTTAGTGCTGGAGACTAAGGGTATGTCTACACTACGAAATTAAGTCGAATTTATAGAAGTCGGTTTTTTAGAAATCGGTTTTATATATTCGAGTGTGTGTGTCCCCACAGAAAATGCTCTAAGTGCATTAAGTGCATTAACTCGGCGGAGCGCTTCCACAGTACCGAGGCAAGCGTCGACTTCCGGAGCGTTGCACTGTGGGTAGCTATCCCACAGTTCCCGCAGTCTCCGCTGCCCATTGGAATTCTGGGTTGAGATCCCAATACCTGATGGGGCTAAAACATTGTCGCGGGTGGTTCTGGGTACATATCGTCAGCCCCCCGTTCCCTCCCTCCCCCCCCCCGTGAAAGCAAGGGCAGACAATCATTTCGCGCCTTTTTTCCTGAGTTACCTGTGCAGACGCCATACCACGGCAAGCATGGAGCCCGCTCAGCTCACTTTGGCAATTAGGAGCACATTAACCACCACACGCATTATTCAGCAGTATATGCAGCACCAGAACATGGCAACGCGATACCGGGCGAGGAGGCGACGTCAGCGCGGTCCCGTGAGTGATCAGGACATGGACACAGATTTCTCTGAAAGCATGGGCCCTGACAATGCATGCATCATGGTGCTAATGGGGCAGGTTCATGCTGTGGAACGCCGATTCTGGGCTCGGGAAACAAGCACAGACTGGTGGGACCGCATAGTGTTGCAGGTCTGGGACGATTCCCAGTGGCTGCGAAACTTTCGCATGCGTAGGGGCACTTTCATGGAACTTTGTGACTTGCTTTCCCCTGCCCTGAAGCGCATGAATATCAAGATGAGAGCAGCCCTCACAGTTGAGAAGCGAGTGGCGATAGCCCTGTGGAAGCTTGCAACGCCAGACAGCTACCGGTCAGTTGGGAATCAATTTGGAGTGGGCAAATCTACTGTGGGGGCTGCTGTGATGCAAGTAGCCCACGCAATCAAAGATCTGCTGATATCAAGGGTAGTGACCCTGGGAAATGTGCAGGTCATAGTGGATGGCTTTGCTGCAATGGGATTCCCTAACTGTGGTGGGGCTATAGACGGAACCCATATCCCTATATTGGCACCGGAGCACCAAGCCGCCGAGTACATAAACCGCAAGGGGTACTTTTCGATAGTGCTGCAAGCTCTGGTGGATCACAAGGGACGTTTCACCAACATCAACGTGGGATGGTCGGGAAAGGTGCATGATGCTCGCATCTTCAGGAACTCTGGTCTGTTTCAAAAGCTGCAGGAAGGGACTTTATTCCCAGACCAGAAAATAACTGTTGGGGATGTTGAAATGCCTATATGTATCCTTGGGGACCCAGCCTACCCCTTAATGCCATGGCTCATGAAGCCATACACAGGCAGCCTGGACAGTGGTCAGGAGCTGTTCAACTACAGGCTGAGCAAGTGCAGAATGGTGGTAGAATGTGCATTTGGACGTTTAAAGGCGCGCTGGCGCAGTTTACTGACTCGCTTAGACCTCAGCGAAACCAATATTCCCACTGTTATTACTGCTTGCTGTGTGCTCCACAATATCTGTGAGAGTAAGGTGGAGACGTTTATGGCGGGGTGGGAGGTTGAGGCAAATCGCCTAGCTGCTGGTTACGCGCAGCCAGACACCAGGGCGGTTAGAAGAGCACAGGAGGGCGCGGTACGCATCAGAGAAGCTTTGAAAACCAGTTTCATGACTGGCCAGGCTACGGTGTGAAAGTTCTGTTTGTTTCTCCTTGATGAACCCCCCGCCCCTTGGTTCACTCTACTTCCCTGTAAGCTAACCACCCTCCCCTCCTCCCTTTAATCATTGCTTGCAGAGCCAATAAAGTCATTGCTGCTTCACAGTCATGCATTCGTTATTCATTCATCACACAAATAGGGGGATGACTACCAAGGTATCCCAGGAGGGGTGGTGGAGGAGGGAAGGAAAATGCCACACAGCACTTTAAGCACAGCACTTTAAAAGTTTACAACTTTAAAATTTATTGAATGACAGCCTTCTTTTTTTTGGGCAATCCTCTGTGGTGGAGTGGCTGGTTGGCCGGAGGCCCCCCCACCGCGTTCTTGGGTGTCTGGGTGTGGAGGCTATGGAACTTGGGGAGGAGGGCGGTTGGTTACAGAGGGGCTGCAGTGGCAGTCTGTGCTCCAGCTGCCTTTGCTGCAGCTCAACCATACACTGGAGCATACTGGTTTGGTCCTGCAGCAGCCTCAGCATTGAATACTGCCTCCTCTCATCACGCTGCCGCCACCTTTGAGCTTCAGCCCTGTCTTCAGCCCGCCACTTACTCTCTTCAGCCCGCCACTTACTCTCTTCAGCCCTCCACCTCTCCTCCCGGTCATTTTGTGCTTTCCTGCACTCTGACATTATTTGCCTCCACGCATTCGTCTGTGCTCTGTCAGTGTGGGAGGACAGCATGAGCTCGGAGAACATTTCATCGCGAGTGCGTTTTTTTTTCTTTCTAAGCTTCACTAGCCTCTGGGAAGGAGAAGATCCTGTGATCATTGAAACACATGCAGCTGGTGGAGAAAAAAAAAGGGACAGCGGTATTTAAAAAGACACATTTTATAAAACAGTCGCTACACTCTTTCAGGGTAAACCTTGCTGTTAACATTACATACATAGCACATGTGCTTTCGTTACAAGGTCGCATTTTGCCTCCTCCCACCGCGTGAACGGATTTTGGTTGAATGCCAGCAAACATACACTGCAATGCTTTGTTCTACAGTGATTCCCGAGTACATGTTACTGGCCTGGAGTGGTAAAGTGTCCTACCATGAAGGACGAAATAAGGCTGCCCTCCCCAGAAACCTTTTGCAAAGGCAGAACCGCAAATGCCAGGGCAAAGTAATCCTTTCACATGCTTGCTTTTAAACCATGTATAGCATTTTAAAAGGTACACTCACCAGAGGTCCCTTCTCCGCCTGCTGAGTCCAGGAGGCAGCCTTGGGTGGGTTCGGGGGGTACTGGCTCCAGGTCTAGGGTGAGAAACAGTTCCTGGCTGTCGGGAAAACCGGTTTCTCCGCTTGCTTGCTGTGAGCTATCTACAACCTCCTCATCATCATCTTCTTCGTCCCCAAAACCTACTTCCGTATTGCCTCCATCTCCATTGAAGGAGTCAAACAACACGGCTGGGGTAGTGGTGGCTGAACCCCCTAAAATGGCATGCAGCTCATCATAGAAGCGGCATGTTTGGGGCTCTGACCCAGAGCGGCTGTTCGCCTCTCTGGTTTTCTGGTAGGCTTGCCTCAGCTCCTTCAGTTTCACGCGGCACTGCTTCGGGTCCCTGTTATGGCCTCTGTCCTTCATGCCCTGGGAGATTTTCAGAAAGGTTTTGGCATTTCGAAAACTGGAACGGAGTTCTGATAGCACGGATTCCTCTCCCCAAACAGCGATCAGATCCCGTACCTTCCGTTCGGTCCATGCTGGAGCTCTTTTGCGATTCTGGGACTCCATCATGGTCACCTGTGCTGATGAACTCTGCATGGTCACCTGCAGCTTGCCATGCTGGCCAAACAGGAAATGAGATTCAAAAGTTCGCGGTTCTTTTCCTGTCTACCTGGCCAGTGCATCTGAGTTGAGAGTGCTGTCCAGAGCGGTCATAATGGAGCACTCTGGGATAGCTCCCGGAGGCCAATACCATCGAATTGTGTCCACAGTACCCGAAATTCGAGCCGGCAACGTCGATTTAAGCGCTAATCCACTTGTCAGGGGTGGAGTAAGGAAATCGATTTTAAGAGCCCTTTAAGTCGAAATAAAGGGCTTCATTGTGTGGACGGGTGCAGGTTTAAATCGATTTAACGCTGCTAAATTCGACCTAAAGTCCTAGTGTAGACCAGGGCTAAGTCCTTCTTTATACACAAAAGCAGAGGAAGAATACAGGCAGACTGCAGAAGCTTCCCCATACTACCCCAACACTGACCAAAGCAGGGTTTAAAATTGCAACAGAAAAAGTCCTACTACCAATCTCTTAAACCATCCCACCCCCATCAAAAATTACTTAGACCAAAAGAAATTGAAACAAACAGAGCCCCAAATATACCCTCAAGGTAACACCCACAATATGGGGCAAGTGTCACTAAAGGTCAGTTTTCACATTTAAAGCAATTGACTCCTAGTAATATTTTGTGCTTGTATAGCACCATATATATGAAGTTCTCAAAATGCTTTACAAACATTAATGAAGTCTTAACACACACCTTTGACATAGGTAATATTTTATTTTGAGATAGGAAAACTGAGGCACAGAAATTGTTAGTTGTCTGAGTTCACACAAGATGTCTGTGGCATAAACAGGAACTGAACCCACATCTTCCAGTTCTCAGTCCCATGTCATAGCCAAAAGACGATCCTTCCTCCCCTTGGATAGGTCTTTTAGGGCTAGTCACATATGTGCACTGTATAATTCTCCAGCCACTGAAATAAGACTATAATCTTACATTCCATAATGTGTATTTCCATGTACGATTAAACATATGGCAAGTTTCATAAACACAGAAAAATTTAAAAAAATGAAAGAAAGCAGAAGAGCTTACCCAAATCCAGAAAATAAGCGACAGAGGAGAAAGAGGCCATAGCCCTGGACAAATGATGACAGGAAGGCAAAGAATCCATTGACAGACATGCATATCAGGAGAGACTGCCTCCTTCCCACCTTGTCTGCCAAGCCTCCCCAGAAGAATGCCCCCAACATCATCCCAAGGTACACTATGCTACCTGCAACACACAGAAAACAAGATGTTACTTTGTGAACTGACACCAATTGACCAAAAATTAATCATAACATACTACAGTATTTTTCCAGCAAACTTTTTAACTTGTGAAATTACAGAACAGGAAGTAATTTTGTCCCCTATCTGCTTATGAGTGAGTTAGGTGTGTAAATCTGCACATTCATCTGTGGAAGAATAGACACCCTATTGTGGCTGACTCTTTTGCTCGAGACACATTGAGGCTTAATATATTATTAAACTAGGTGCCTCTAGCTATAGGCAGATAAGTAAGAAGTGGAGAAAAAGTTCCAACTATCCCACAGCAGCACACTGCATGCACAATAACACCGCAAAAATTTAAATCTGCCCTACAGAAGTGCATTGCTGGAAACCTATTAAAAACAAGCAGTTATGTGTGGGATCATTAGCCACCAGTAGTTATTAAAAACAAGTTGTCCTTACTCTAAGAGTTAAGAAACAAAGGAATGCTAGTTATCAGAGTGTAGCAGTACCAAAGAACCCCCACTTTGTTGTTTGTCTCTTTTTCTATAGTACAGTCTGTGCCAGGTGTGGCCAAACGGTGGTTCGTGAGCCGCATGCAGCTCTTTTACAGTTAAAGTGCAGCTCCCAGAGCCCCCCATGCATTCCCCCTCCATTCTCCGCCTACAAGACTGGGAAGGGGAGACCTTGGGGCTTCTGCCCTGCGGAGGAGTGGTGGGACGAGGGGCTTCTGCCCTGCAGGGAGGGGAGTCTAAGGGCTTTAGCCCAGTGGGGGGGCATCGGGGCAGAAGCCCCACACCCTAGTACGCGCCGCCCCCTAGGGCAGGTTGTGCGTATCTTGCGGCTCTCCAACTTCTGAAGATTATTGTATGCAGCTTGGGGGTCAGTAAGTTTGGCCACTCCTGGTCTGTGCGTTCCTCAAATAGTATTGTCCTAAACAAAAGACAACACTTGAACAACACTGCTTTAAAAAAACTTTTTAAACATGGCCAAACACATTAAAATAACACAGTGAAAAAATTCTTTGTGGATATTATAATAAAGTGATGCTATTTTAAATTTACAATGACGTGTATGATATCGATTAAAAAATTGGACCCTTCAAACTCACCAGTAAATTCACTTCAACTAAAGAAAAAGAGAACTGTCAGGATAAAAATCATATTTAAAAAAAAATCTTTACCTACAGGATGGTCATCATCTTAGAGTATAAAAATTGACAAGTTAATGTAAATAGCTTTCAGAAATCTAGGGGTTTTTTTTTTTGTTTTTACTCCTTGCACTTCTCTCTACTTGGACAATGAAAATAGCATAGTTCATTTCTAGTCAATTTCATTTTCAGGTTCTAATGCACTGGGACAATGCTGCAAGGGTATTTTATTTTAGTTTGTATGTTACATTTCACATCAACACTTATTAGTCTCAGGTTTTGTAAAATACATACATACCTATATACACATTTCTGGCCAAATGGGACCTTACAGTGTCCCATTATTTCACAAACGTGGATCAGACAAATGACATGTCAGTCACACATTTAGCAAAACTATCTCAACAGTGACATTACCATTTCATGCAAGATACATGCTTTATCCTGTTACACTGATTAAAAAGATCTTGAGTTTGACTGTTAGAAACTTAACAGTTTAGTGAAACATAACTCAAAAGTCAGAACAGTTTGTGCGAAATCACAGTACAATTATAAATCCTAGTTTGTAGTCTTAGAGAGTGCTATCCAACAAACTAAATCTGACTGGTAAAGGCAGTGACTGTCCTTGATCTCTGCCCAGGTCAAATCAGATTTTTATTTTGTTTTTGCTGCTTGTTTTAACCTGTCTTCTGTTCCTTCTCCCCACCTCCCACATTCTTATCAAAATTTCTGGTTGGACATCACCCCTAATGGCTGCTGCCCTATTATATGTCCTATACAGAATAGGTGCTTAAAAGGAGAATAGCTGGGAGCAGGTTATTAGTTAGAAAGTCCTGCTCCCCCTCTTGGAATTGGATAATGAATAATAATATAGAGATAAGCATTATCCATTCACTGTTTGTAAACCCAATATCCTCTACAGCAGTGGTCTCCAAACTGGGGTGCGCGCACCCCAAGGGGTTGCGCAAGATGATCCCAGGGGGTGCACGGCAGCAGGAGCGCTGCCGGACAGCACTCCACCATTTTTTTTCTTCGGCAGCAGCTCTGCATGTCCACGGCTGGTGTTCCCCTCCAGCAGGTCTTCCATTCTTCTTCCGTCGGCAGTGCATCTGCGGCTGGTCTTCCAGTCTTCACCGCAGGGGTGTGCGAGCCAAAAACTTTGGAGACCACTGCTCTACAGAATAGCCAATGTCGGATGATGTCTCTGAGGGTTGATTTTGCATTTAGAACTCTGAGTTAGCTGTAAGAACTGTAAAATCACCAGTAGGCTGAGAACTCCCTGAAGTATACATTTAAGAGGGTCACATTGTCTATTCCAGAAAATGCATGTGATATTTTGCACTTATGAAAGATGACCCTTCTATCCTGGTTCAGAAACAAGTACATAAATAATCACGGATCATGTGGAATATTCAAGACTTGTCACCATGGAATAAACAGGTCTCAGTACATTTTTTTTATATAAACATGGCCTCCATTTCCAGGATTTGTATTTATTCATTCTCAGTGACGCAAACAAAAACATTAACTTCTCAAGTCTGAGAGTCATACGTGTTTCATGTACACATCATGTCCAGATTAACGCACCATTTAAACAGAAACATTTGGCCTGTATCCTCCTGAGCAGTCTGCTCTTGTGGAGCTGTTCCTGTCTCTCAGCTTTATTGAAAAGGAACCAGCCTTTCTTATTCCGTCAGCAGGATAATGAGTTTTCTATCCTCCAGTTATCTGGGTCAAAAAGAATATTGGCCCTTCCTCAGACTAGTCAAGTTGGGAACGAGGAAAGTAGCCTCCCTTAATCATTAATGGTGTCCTGTACTAATGGTCCAGCTTTTCTACAGCTATTTAGCTTTTTGCCAAATATAAAATAGGGACAGGATGTTTTTGGTCCAAGAGGGTCTCCTCCATGAGTGCCAAAAGGCCTGTACACATATGACAAGTCCATTGCTGCTCAGCCCTGAGATTGGTAACCTTCCTGGTGTGAAGGCAGAGTGCTAGCTTCCCTCAAAAAAGCAGCAATTAGGTGCCTTCTCAAGATCTCTCTCAATGCTGGTAATCTTCCTAATTACCAGTGCGCCTCTCAACTTCCTTTTTGGGGGAAGATTGGGAATATGGCAAGGAAGTTAACTCTGGAATCTTTTAGTGTCATCAGATTTCCTTGATCCTTTTCGATTTAGAGTTTGACCGAGGAATGGCATGGAGCCTGCACTACTCTCACTGGTTGATGATTTCCTAGTGATGGGCAAAGAGTCCACACCCAGTGATTTTATTACATCTGTTAGTATCTTTTTATACTGTAAAGATGGGGTTTTCTTAACTAGCATATACACAGTTCATAGCTGGGGTAGAAGGTATGGCTCAAGTATTTCTGGTTTCTAAGAAATCTCCGTGGATGATTCGGAAAATTACCTGTGTTGTCTCTTACATGTAGGGGATTATTGCATTACCCTTTAGATGGGCTTGCTCTTGAAGCTTACTTGGAAATCACAAATGGAGGAAAATGTGATGGTTTTCCTGCTTAATAGCATTAGCTGTAGGAAACGTATTAGACCTATTTTGACAACTGCTTTGTCACTATATCTATTTCAGGGGGCAGCTCGTTTGGTTGAATTTTATTCTTGAAGCCCTGAATGATTTGAGTCCAGGCTGTCAGAGACCACAGCTTTCCATGCTTGTTGAGGTTAGTTGCTCTAGCATTTCAAGTATAGGAAGGCCCATGGTGCACAATTCACCTCTTTTCCCAGATTTATTCTTGAGGATGGTAGGATGGATTGGGTGTATGGGTTTTTTGGAAATCTTTTTTTCCCTTTGCTTCTCAGGCAAATAGTGTGTGCTTTATTAAACATACATCTTTCTTTGTAGTGCATAAAAAGGCACAATAGGGCAGACCTAAGCAGAGCTTATTCTTCTTCTCCATCCCTCCTCTATCATTTTTTATAGCGTGGATACCACCACCATGATCCCCATCACTCAGATGTCACAAACTTGGGATCTCATGATAAACTCATCCCTCTTCTCCTCATGAAGACACACAGTTTCCAAGTCTTGCAATTCCAAGAATATAAACCTTCCTCTTTGTCTCAATAGCTAAAACCATTGTCCATACCCTGGCCATTAACTCTGCTTTAGCCTGTCTCTTACCCACGTCGCTTCCCTGAACTGCATTCAAAATACAGCTGCGAAGATCATCTTTCTCAGCTGTCATTCACCCCATGTCACTCCCCACTGAATCCCTCCCCTAGTTCCTATTTTGCCATCTCATAAGGTCCTACATAATTCCTCCCTAATCAGCTTTCATTTATATTTCTGTCAATGATACCCAGTTTCAAAGCACCTTCCTGTCTTCCCCTCCTTTCTCTTTTTTGCATCTCCTTCTGTATGGCCCCCTTTACACAGAACACACTTCCAACCCCAGACAACCAAGTTCACTTCCTCTCTTCTTTCAAATCACTCCTCAAGACTAATTCTTTTCTGCAATGTCCACAATAAGCAGTGAAAGCAACAAGGGAGATACAAAATTCTACCGAACAATTGATGTAGCAGAATCATCATATAACATAGATTCATAGATATTTAGGTCAGAAGGGACCATTATGATCATCTAGTCTGACCTCCTGCACAACGCAGGCCACAGAATTTCACCCACCACTCCTGCAAAAAACCTCACAACTATATCTGTGCTACTGAAGTCCTCAAATCGTAGTTTAAAGACTTCAAGAAGCAGAGAATCCTCCAGCAAGTGACCCGTGCCCCATGCTACAGAGGAAGGTGAAAAACCTCCAGGGCCTCTTCCAATCTGCCCTGGAGGAAAATTCCTTCCCGACCCCAAATATCGCGATCAGCTAAACCCTGAG